TAAATTACAATCAGTTTTTTTTTTTTTTTTTTGTAATTTATAAATCAGTTTATTGAGATTTGAAATATTCGAAAATTCAAATCAATGATAATTGCATCATTTTCATTTAGATGTTTAACTTAAGCTTTATCATTGGAATTTTTTTTAGGATCCAATGGATGCAGATTTGATGCAATGGAATGGTTGTAGTAAAATGAGTTCTGGTCAGATGGAAGCATTAGTTCGTTTACATGGTGATGCGGTTGAAATTCAAGTACGTGGTCCATCTGAAATATCCACATCATGTTTTTATTTCTTGGAAGATATAACAAATCTTGTCGAGCAAACAGCTCAAGAAGTAGCACCAGGAATTTCCCTTGAACGACATTTCCTTTCACCTAAACATTTACGAGTAAGTTTACTTATATTTATGTTAAGGCTCTTTTTATTCATCGAATACTATTTCAGATTTTTTTTTCCCACTATTCAACGAAAGATCCCTAATACGCAATATGCTTTCCATACAAACATTATTTTTAGTCTATTAATGCTAGGCTTATTTTACACTTACATAATTTGAAATTAAAATTCTTTATCGATCTGATAATGTAATTAACTGATGAAGTAGAATTTATTTAACTGAACTATACGTCATATCACGTCTGGACATCCATTCATACATTTGTTGTCAGTTTGATTCATTCGTTATCAATTTGTTCTCTCCACTTTCAATTAAATCTTGTAAAGAAATGTTAGTGAGTCCAAATATTTGTATAACTCAAATATCATATTTCAGGAACATTTAGTAAATCCGGCAGTTTATGCTCCGGAAACAATTATGGCAATGCAACAAGCCGAATCGTTGACCATTCGTAATAATCAGGAAGGTGATGAGTTATTTACGGACGTTGTATGTTTCGGATCACGTGATGTAGCTGCTGTATTAACGCTTGGTATTGACGTTGGAGTTGCACAACTTCAACTTGCATCACGTTGTGAATTAGCTGCTCTTTTGGATCCTTCAGATGCAATGGGTAGAGATTGGTTAGTTTTTGGTTGTTGAGATTTATTTTGAATAAATTTTAGTCATTTAAAATTAATTTAGTCATAATTTAATCAATTATTTAGGTCTATTCTTGCGGTCAAATTAAATCTTACTGATCAGCTACCAGAAGTAGATTCAACAGGACAAAGTCTTTCGAGAACCGATCAACTTTTAGCGGAATGGGCATTACAATGTCCAGAAACAGCAACTGTTGGTCGTTTATGTACTGTTCTCGAGGAACTTGGAAGGCAGGATGCTCGAGATGCCCTTTATAGGTTTCATTTCAATTCAATTACTATGCAGGATTAGGGGAAAAAATTTTGATTTAATATTTTTGTAAATGTTTTTTTTTTTTTTCACAGGACTGTACCACTCTATTTGTTTGCTCCGATAGATGAGCAACCGGTGGCACATTTAACGGAATACGGTGATTCGGGTGTGGTTTCTTCAACACAATCAACAATTGATCCATGCTCTGCTTCAAATCTTTCACGATAGCAAAAAAAAAAAAAAAAAATGCAACAAGGTGCTGTTTGAAACACGAAAAAAAAAAATGAATTGATTTAAACGAATTAAAATGAATTGATTACTATTAATTTCGATTAATTACCAAAAGCTTACCATGCTTACTATCTTTTTATTTTTAAGAAAGATTTTTTACTATGCTTAAGTATTTTTTTATTTTTAAGAAGAAAGAAGTTATTCGTTGTATTTGTATTATTATGTGATGCTTATTAATTGTGTTCAATAAAATGGAAAGATCGTTTCTTTCTACATTTTCACTTTTATCACAGATTCATTAATTCTACTAATTCTATATCACTTTTAATCTTTTTTTTGAAAAAATCAATCGAATATTACTACTTAATGTTCACAATGTTAAAAGGCAAGAAAAAAAAGGAGCAATCAAAAATTAATCTTCATTATATCCATTTTTGTTGCAATGAAAATGGATTACCTATGATACTAATTAAACTTTGAGAATCTAACTTTTAACTTTCATAAGACTTTACTTGGTTTTTTTTTCGAAACTTTCTCTTCAACTGTCTTACTTCATTGCTTTTTTTTCTTATAATCGTATAACTTACTGAGGTATTCATTGGTTTTTCATATTTTTTGCTATTATAGAAATAAAACAGTTAAAAGGAAAGGAAAGGAAGAAAAATTAAAGTTATAGGCATCATAGATTAATTTTTCCCGAAAAATTCCGGAAAACTTCCGGTTTCTTCTGGTTACTCATACTCTATCATAGTAATGATTTCAACTAATGGTCTGAAAATAGTAAAATTTGGGCTGTGAGAGTTATTAAAAATTATGTTTTTCTTTGCCAACATGTTATAGTGTCACTTCAAGTTTTCAAATTTTACAGAATCTATCATTTTTAAACTTTTTAAATTTGATAACCTCTGATATAAAAGTTAAAATGATCTGTGGTTAGGAAAAGAAGATTAAGAATCAAACTACTTTATCAGAATTCTTAATCTTCCCATCCTTTACTTATTTCACCGAACAAATAACATGTTACTCATACATTAATATAATATGTTGTATAATTTTGCAAATTGATATAGCATACTTTATCAAAGTATAATACTGACCACAAATATATCTAACAAATGATTCGATGTGATAAAATATGTCATGCTGTATGATGACATGATATGACAAATGGCGATGTGGGATGATTGATTTGAAATTTAATTAATTAGCTCTTTCATTATTTCAGCGTTTTAATTATTTTATCAAAACTTGCATTCTGTAATAGATGTTAAATAATATGTTTGTAGCTTTTCCACTTTAGCACACCGAAATATTTTAGTTCTGGAAATTCTAAAACATTCTTTGATCTCTTTTAGATGTATTGATCGAAATTATTATGCTAATCGAATAATTAACTCTTCCATCTCAATTATCCTGTTACGTGTGTCTGTGTGTGTGGTACCTGTTTCATCTTTTTTAATTAAATCTATTAATTTCATATTATATTGCTCATACTTTATCACTACTATTATTACTCATATTTCGGGTTTTTCTTTGCTCTTTAACCTTCTCCTATCGGTTTAACTTTTTTTTATCATTTCATTTGAACACTTATAATATTTGATTTTTGATTTTGCTTTTATCAATTTCCATTTTGTATCGAATTTCGTCTTTTATCTCTATATGTATGCAATAATAGTAATAATCTTTTATAGTAAACAGGTAAAATTTTTGAGTATTTGATAAAAGAGGAAAGCCCCTCCACTTAATTAGTCCAAAACTAAGCCTTATTAGATTCCCAGGCTTCTATTTTCATCTTCCTTTGGCTTGATTTCTTCCATTCAATTTCCACTGTATTGAGAAGCATTCTGAATCATAAAAACGATTCATGCAAATGATTGAGGCTACTCATTCGAGGATACTGTATGGGACAATGAAAAAATTCATCAAATGGAGAATATCATTTAATATTTCTCGATTTCAATATTCAAAAATTGCACATTTCATTTGAAAATGCAACCGAGAACATATACAAAGGAAAGGCAATGAAATTTTTTTGAAATAAAATGATACATAATTGGGGTCAAACTAGGGTCAAAGGATTACCATAGCTATCGCTTCCTTAACGTGGTAGTTCGGAACATGATATTGATGTTGTCAGAGCTGTTTTCAGATTTTTTCGGGATTTTCCTTCACTGCAACAGATCTTCAATTAGCCTTCCACACATTTGCATGATGCATTCATAGTTCTTTTACCATTCAAATTTTTTCCTTCCCTTGAAATGCGGGATTATTTTAAGAAATCTGAGAAACCAAGAAAGCAGGGATAAATGTACTAATATTCATTCAATTTGTTGTATAAGGTGCCACTATTGTAAAGGTGTACTGTATTAGATCATTCGATATGACACGACAAGAAGAGAAACTTTAGTTTAAAATAACTCAGCTTTTCAGTGAAAGAAGCTTAATTACTTTTCACCTTGATCTATGAGATGAAGCAAGCTGATGTATAGAGAAGAATTATTTTAGAAAATTATTTTAATCAGACTTTTTTTTTTAGAATTACATTAATCACTTTTTTTTCCCCAGGAAATAAATTAGCTTGGATAACTCGTATTGGCGATAGTTTTTATTTCGGAAATTGCAAAAAGAAATGTTAGCTGAGATTGGTAAAGAGAAAGATAGTAGGATTAGTTGTAAAGTATGTAGAAGAAATGTATTCAAGATATTGGTCAATAGAATAGCCATTACTAGAACTAATATCAACTATATTGAATATAGGATAAAGGATACTTGTAGTGAAATAAGAGATGAATATGAATTCACTTTTGCGCCATTTGATAGACTGCTAAGGAGTATGATATCCATAAATATGGTAGATTAAATAATAAGAGATTATTAAAGCAATTCTATTGGTCTTGAAGGAGACGAAGAATGAAGCAAAGGATTGATTAGAATCCGGAATACCGAACTTTCTGAATGAATTTACTATTGTAATAATCATTCTTACAAAAATTCTCTCTAGACATATGGAGCTATTTTAAAACGATGACTTTGTACGGAAATAACCTTCCTCAGCTTTGATTAGTTTTAAGTTCACAGATTATTTCCGGAAAGGTACTACTACATTTACCTTTTCTTGACAAAAATGTCAAACAAGCGAGCGGCAATGTTACTTGCAACCAATTCGCTAGCATTTTGCGTCACCAACCTTAATACCAATGTAGTGTCACCAATAAACTGCTCAGCAAATAATTGTGTGAGATGATCGGTCATTTTTTCTTGCGGTTGCTAAAAATTAGCTAATATTAAATGAGTTTAAAAACGGATATTAAATATAGCTTATTTCAAGGATTTTCAGCAAGAAAGGGCGCAACATGTTCAACTATGACAAGTGCGCATATAATTATACCCAATCTGTTAAATTATCTTAAACTAAACTAACACCAAGTCTAACGAGTCCAATTAGAAATCGATAGCTTGAAGTGATCGAATTCAACACATAGATCCAGTAAAATAAATTGATTACTGTTAGGGTTATTACGATGAGTAGCCACCACCAAAGCGCAATGTAAATCTTCTCGTTAAACATATTTGCCATCAGGACACATTGAATGGTGTGGCGATGTACATTACCCATGACACGAATCTGAACTTTCACAACATTTATCATCTTCTTTCCGCTAACCTTTCCGCAGCATCATACATTACATCCTTTTATTTTCTTTCGCAACATTCATCATTTATTATTTTCTTTCCGCTAACTTTTCTGCAGCACATGCTTCCTTTTCATTACTCTATGAAAAAAGATGACAAACCTTAAAGTCGCACATGGTAACTCGCGGGAAAAGACCGGTATTTTGCCATGTTTGTTGTCTCACTAGTGCTTTCGTTAAATCATACCCATTTCCGCCCAAATAAAGTGATACTATCCAAAACTAAAAATGAATTAATTTACAATTAAAAACAACTCATATTTGCAGGGAATTACAAATTAAAATAAATCAAGCCAAAGCAAATGAAAATTTCCCGAAAAATCCTTTTCCTCTCACCTGTACTGTTGCATTTGCTATGAATAGTAATTTAGTTATTAGATAAATTGTACTGAGATAAGAATGGGTAAGAATCCTGAAACATCACTAATAAGATCAATTACATGAAAGAACAAGCTAATTAAGCTTCCTCATGTTAAACATACATACTGTCGACATTATTGTTAATTAAAAGCATCAACCTGATAGGCTAATCTCCTAGAACTACCAGAAATTTTTCATTGACTTTATGAGAATTGTAAAATATCCAAACAATTTGATCATTTTCAAAATATTTGCTATCCTAAAATCAATATTTAGTATGGTACCTTGTAAAGATAACAAGCAAATTACTATTCTGTAATATTTTAGGCAATTGTTTGGTTGATTTATCAGCATAATAGATATGATTAGCAATTGAATCCATGATATCATTTGCTTCATCATTACAAGGATCCATTTGACGTACGCTATCCGCCATTGATATCACTGCACGTGTTTGTACGTCTGCAAGAGAACTGAGATTAATGAAATTATTAATGAAAAGATTAATGAAATTATTTCTCATACTTTTCGAAAATTTAAATTAAATCAAAAAAAATGCACAGACTGTTTGCTTCAATTTCTAAAACTACAATTATTTCCTAAAACTTGATAGAAAAAAAAACGAACTTGAAGTCCAGTTAAGCATTCGCCAGAAAACGTGAGGTATTATGAAAAACATTGCTTGCAATATCAATGTGAATGGTACCCACTAAAGTAATTCAGAAGTTAATATCACATGATTATGCATCATCATCCTGATATAATCTGTTTATCAATTACGATCAAATTAGTTAAGAATTGGTAATAGCAAAAGTTTGATAACAAAATTGTTCTATTTGATCACTGTGGATCGAAAGGATATTGTTACTATCATTACTTGATAATAAGTGATCAATTTTTCTTCCCGGTATTTCTCGTTTTGTGGCATTTCCTGATCCAATGGAATGTAGTAGGTATTTTCCACGAAACAGTAATCTTCCGCATATTGTTCCCACGATTTTTGTGATGCTAATTGAGCAGGTAACCAACATTGAATTGGATCACCACCATATTCCTGCATAATGCATTTTTAAGGATGAATTTTTTTAAAGCTATTAAATTTCAGGAATTTCTGAATTTTCAGCATACTACCAATAGTACCATATAGTTTTGATCGATCTGATGATAATCCTCATATCAAATTGAGTTGCATTTATTTCATTTCAATTTAATTCAATCGATTTAAATCCAATTAACTCAGTTCAATTCGATCACACCCATCATTTTGAAGTCCTCGTAATATTTTCCTTTACTCGTATTGTATTGATCTTTTATAAGCTATTCTAAGATTGAAATTTTGTGAAATTTTTGACGCCATTTCAGATCCAAATCATAGATTCTAATTCGATCTTCGATGTGAATTAAAATTCTCTGAATTTATGGTAGTGGGATTATAGAATATTATCCTTTAAATTAGCTAAACAGTAGCATTCCGGAATGTCAACTGAGCAAGGCAACCAATTGATGACAAAAAATGGTCAACTTTCTTTTAATGTCTTGAATAAAGATGACAAGTTCACACCTCCCCTTTTAGCACAATTAATTGTTGTCTTTGCTAATTAATGAATCCAAATATGTTTAAAGTGAAATCAATGTAACAAAAATAACAGATGTTATTTGTCATTACCGTAATCAGCAAAAGTATAAGTGAATTCAGCATTGAGGAAGGACATTTGAGTTGTAACACAATAAAGTACCAGAGATTGAGAAATTTTTGGTAAAGGATGATGAAACAAAAGTAAATATGACGAATGATTTATTGATCGGGTACGGTAGGTAGATAGGTAGGTATGTATATAGTACTGAATCAAAAAAGGCAACAAAAAAGTGTACATAAACCAGAGTCATTTTATAAGTTAGTCAAAATGATAAATGATAAAAATGAAACTTAAGCGAAGTATAGACATAATGAATGGTCAATTGCGCCTAATGCAATTACGAATTTCATGCTACTTTTACCATAAGTAGAATAAACCCTTGGAATAGTTGTCTTGCCTGTTGTATTCTGGTAGAACGGGAAGGAATAATTCCAGAATTTGCAAAGAAATCCTGGACGATGATAATAACAATAATAATAATTATCATGAAAAAGAAATGAAGAAGTGAGAGTTTGATTGTTACATCAGAAAATATTGAAATGAATTAAAGAAGTGATAGATGTCATCTAAATTTTTTCTGTCCTTCTTCAGCATAATTTCATAACTTAAGACTTCGGATGAGTACAGAAATGAATGACAACAATGGTTTTCAACGGGTAATTTCATGAGAACGGTTGTATGTTAAATGAAAAACGGACTGGGATTATTCTTATCAATGTTTGATAAAAACTAGTATGTTAAAAGTTTTGCTTAAAGTTTATTTTCAAATTTAACAAAATTTATTATTTTTGAATTTTGTGATCATTGCTATAAATTGAAAAAAGTTCAAGTGATCATTGATCAGGAAAAGAATTAGGAATTATTGATTGCCTCACAGATCCTTTTGAAAGATTTCAAACAATTAAATGTCACCTTCTTTTTATTATGAGGTAGTAGTGAAAAGGAATAAATAGTAAAGGACAAGGACAGATTGTTTGTTTCATGTCATATTTGTCACACATTGGGAAAATGAAACAATATAATTGAGAAACCTTGGCTATTATCGTAAATGCAGCAACAAGTAATATCAATGTAGTGACGTGATAATTTAGTCGATCGATGGAATCTTCTTCATATCGTGGTTTTGTCAACGATTCGATCACTATCGATAATTTATCCATACCAAGAAGAAAGAAAAAAATGAATGCTTATTTGCATGTTGCAAAAACTTTAATGAAGTTTAAAAATAAATTTTTAACTATTAGAATCAGAATTACTTCCTTCAAATATTTTCTATAAACAATTTATTTAATTCAAATTTTCAGTTTCAAGCTAAAATACCATTTTTTATGAAAATATTCATATTAATTTGGATATTAAGGAGAAATTTTGCAATGAAAATTCAATACGAAATGAAATGAAATAAATGCAAATTAAGATATATTAATGAATGAATCATGATTAACCTATGAAGAGATTATTGATTAATGAAGGAATGATAAGAGTGATGATTAGGAAATTGAAAATGAAATAATCAACAAAAAAAAAAAAGTGATTTCATCTCCCAATTTTATCAATGCATCTTCTTTATTGCACTGATTTATTTCCAATGATTTCAGGGAATTTTCGTTATTTTATTTTCTTTTTTCTTCTTTTTTTTTTCAGAGAAGCGAAAAGAATGATTTTTTGCTGTGAGCCAATCGACGATTTGCTCTCTTTAGACAAAATCCATGCCTCGTTTGTTCATATCACTGTTTCATATCAAAAAGCTACCATATCGACCGAAACTTTTTTTTCGTTTTCCAATAGTTACACTCTTAATTTTAGCAATTTTAAAAGTGCCACTTCCATCACGTCACCACTATTAAAGTGTTCCTAACTTCATCTACAACATCTAATCTTCAGCACTTCCTGACTAAATAATTTTCTCTTTTTTCCTTTCTTTTTTTTTAAAGAAAGGCCATAGTGAATGTTACACATTTCGAAGATATTTTCTTGTAAAATTATTGAAAATAAAAATATACACATGTTATTTTGGATAATTAATCTCTTGCAGCGATCCAATATGCAACAAATGGGTTCGAATATTTTGAAGAATATGAATGGTATTAAGTTGGAAAATTTACATTTCTGCTTTGCTATTTTCTTATCTTCATATTAACGCAATTATACAGGTGAGCTATTTGTGAACATTGATCACTATATTTAAATGATGACAGTGATGACATTTAAAGCATAGCGGACTGAATTGTATAATATCAAAAAAAAACCTTTCGCTTGTAAATTCCTTGTAATTGCAAACAATGTAACTTCCAGTAAACAACATTTTTATTAGCTACACTAAAGTATATCATATCGATAAAACTTTTTCTTTATACGTGCCACTATATGGCATAGAGAAAGCAATGCATCCAGATGGACGTGATTGCAAGGAAACTGAAATGCCAACAATTTACAACGAACCATTAAATGTCGATCTAAGGAAAAGAGTCATACTTCTCATAGTGAAGTAATTCAATATGCCACATATATTCGGAACTGATAACAACTTATCAAAACGAGAAGCGCAATGTTGTCCAAGAAATGGTAAAGAAAATGCTGACCATTTGTTTTGCAAAAAATAAATTCATAAAATTATGCATCAAAAAAAAAGACTTTGAGGAAACAAAAGTAAAACAAACGTACTGATTGCCTTCAAAAATATTCTTACAAATAATACCATACACAAATCGCGCGTATATGAACGCAATTACGTACGTGTAAGAAAAAACATACACTGCATTAACACAAGGCATATGTGAACAGATTTTACTAATATCCTCGCGGGGAGAATGTTTACCACTATCGGAATTACCAAAAAAAAAAATCAACAAACTTATATCCTTAACTTATCAGATTAAAAAACTTTCTGCTGCTATCATAACTAATGCTATTAATGCTGCAACATCCCCAAGACCAGTGATATCTAACTAAATGAAAATCACCCAAGTTTGAAACTGACTTCAATGAGCTTGAAAAGTGGTAAATATATTTCAGTGGACAATTTATCAGTTTTTAAGCTTATTCAAACCATCCAGCCGTGTAACACTCAATACCTTCGTCCTACCCTAAAGACTATTGAATATTTAAAATCTGCATTCAATCAGCTCCTTAAATTACAATTAGCCTTACCAGAAGAAAAAAGAAAAACATACTCTCTACCGCCGAATATTAGTTTCAAAAAAAAGAAAAGAACTTGCAAGCGTTTGGCCAAGTTGAAATAAAACACGGCAAAGTGATAAGGAAAAATGAACTTCCAAGAAAAACTTCCGAGATTATAACAAATTATAACCATAACTAAGAAATAAAGAGAAACAATAGTCAGTCTTTAATAACATAAAGGAAATAATGCATCCGCTCATCTTAGCCCTATTTTATTTACTGACCGGAGTAACTGGTGCTAACGCGATAATTGTTCCGACGATTGTAATTATTGTGGAAACTGCCATAACCGCTTCGTTGTTGACTTCCGTAATTGTAACCTAGAAGTATATTATAGTCAGGAAAATTGAATTCAAATTTAGTAAATCTTAGTTGAAATGACTTCTGTGGGTCTTACTTTGTCCTGGTATGACAGATACCTTCATATGGTTCCTTCTTTCACGAAGCTTCCTATCGTCATAAAAGGTGAATAAAAAATATGGAATTGATGAGAAATCCTAATCGTAGATAATGAAAAAAATGAAATGTTTTTGTAAATAAATTTCAATAAGCAAAATGCTTTATCCAGCTTAAAGCAACTATATTTATCAGCTTCGTGAACCATATCTAGAATAAATAGAATACATTGCACTAAGTGTGCAGCTGAGAGAACTAAGAAATGAAGCCGTAGAAATTAAGTGCCAATTGCAATCAACAATTTTATGTATAGCTCGGAACAGTGGGATAATGGCAGTTCCATAAGAGCAAGATTAACCAGAATTGTAGCGATAGCCACTGCTCATATGCCCACCACGGCCACCACGTCCACCCATGTATCCTCGAGGACGGCGATATGTAAGTGAACGCACCGCAGAATGTCCAAATGTCTCTTGGTTTGTTTCACGCTCTTTTCTCCAATCCGTACGAGGTTTCCTATAGTAAGAAAAAGACATGTTTTATGTATTGGAAAAATCACTCAGAAAACCCAGTTTTCTTGCAACGATGAAATGGTAATATAGATAAAAATTAAAAAATGTGCTGTGAACATACCCTTCCTGTTTTTCAAGCGCTTCACATGAAATTCGATCAAAAAATGATGAGCTTTTATCGTAGTACCGCTTTTCCAGTTCCTCCTGGCCATTTTCAGCGATCTCTTCTTCGACAACATCTGAACCAGCATCAGATCCCGTTACTGACTTTTTACTTCCATCTAGAAAACATCCAAAAAGGAAAAATGAAGGACCACGGACCTCCTTCCATCTCTGCATATCCAAACAGATGGTCCATTTAAAACCTAGTAATTATTTGTCAATAAATTGTGATATAGCAGAATAAAAGATCTTGAACAATAAACGGATCATACGAATAAATTAACCATAAATAGTACAAGATCACTACTTACGCGGGCTATTAGATATGAAATAATGTTGCCTATAATTTGCAATAATACTGAACGCTTAAATAATGACAGCATCGGAATAAGGATTGGTCTGTCATTCAGTCCAGCAGTGTCTAACATTACTGGAGGTTTCGCAATGCTATTGCAGTTTCAACTGCTGCGATATAATGTATTGCTGTCCAACATCATAGTAAATAATGATATAAAGGACAACAGGCAATAAGTGAGAAGGACAAGTATATAAAAATCAAAAATTTCTTATCGTCGCCTCAAATATGTCAATTTGATCATTGCTAAAATACTGATACAACTTCAAAAAATTGTATAGACCTGTGAAAAAAAAATCGCTAAAAATCGGACATTAGAAGTACGCAGGAAAGCACTATACAATTCTCATTTCATTTTACAATAACTAACCCTCCAGCTTGGTCTTCTTAAGATCGAGACTGATATGATTCAGCGTTTCTTGGAATTGTTCATTGGCCTTCTCAAAATCGTAATCACTTTCAAACTTCAGCTTCTCTTTCGACTGTGGCTTGCCACCTACCCCACCACGATGACTTCCTCCACCGCGCTGATAATTTACACTACCTCCACGACCGAAGAAACCTCCGCGACTTTCGCGATAACTGTTCTGCTGTCCACCTCGTCCATAGTTCCCCTGATAAGTCCCACCAACAGTTGGATAATTTTGCTGTCCTGGAATTTGAAATATCTTACAGTTTTGAAATATAAAGGCTATTTGAAGCAAGCTACAAGCCGTCCATTTTGCTAACGGCAGCATCACTATAGCGGAATGAAATACGGCAGGTTACACCCGAGACTATACAGTAAAAATGATCAGGGTACAGTTGGAAGCGAACGAAAAAAAAAAAACAAAACGATCATCATACTTTGATCAGCACGAAAAATCCCAAAAAAGGAGATGCATCGAAATAACAGTGATGATGAAAAGGACTTAACGCATCAGTTTCTCTCTGACATCATAGTGCTCCGAAGAAAGCAATAAATGCAAGGAAATATGATTTAGATTTGTGACAGCCTAACGCAGGTATAATGAGCTAGTGCTAAGTCTCGACCACCACAACGTCCCAAACCGTTCTGCTAAACGAAAAAGACAAAACAAAACGTTAAATAGGAAACAGTACAAATCAGGAAGTATATTTTAAGCTCTTTCCTTGCACTAACAAAGCCTTAAGTATGTATAAACTGACGTCCTGTATTAAGTGCTCCTTGATGAATCTGTTGCTGAAAACCACCACGGTTTTTAGTACCTGTCGCAGGTTGTATTGCATTTGGCAGTGAACCTGTACGCTGATTGCGCCCCGCACCAGGAGCACGCGAATGTGCCGGATCTTCTGCTGGAGAAATGCGATTCGGTGTGCCAGAACGTGACGCTTTAAATACATTGGAATTACTCTTGTAAATAAATAATATACCAAAACTTGGTAAAGTAATAAATTATATAATCCTGTACAGTGACACATTTTCTCCGTAAACCATTTTTTTCAGATTAACTTACAGCAAAGCCATTTTTATATTCTCCGTCTAATTTATAGAAAAATATTGTTTTATAAATTTCGTATAAAGATTGGTGCAAAAAAGATTATTAAAAAGATTACAAATAACTAAGTTAAATTTTCAATTCCCAAATTTATGGTCAACTAAATAAATCAAACTGTGGAAGAACTCACATCCAGCGCTAATAATATTGCTGCCTATAGGTACATTTGGAACTGAGGGATGCATTGGAATGGTGCGTCCAGAAGAAATCGATAGTATGGCTGGATCATATGCCAAACCGCTAGCAAGCTGAGGTACCGGTTTTGGTGTTTCACATACAATCAGATCTTTGATATCTGTTGCTTTGAAAATAATATATTCATATATGTCATCACGAGCAGCAACTGGATTTGGCGTTGGTCTGTCTTCTGTTCCGAACGAGCGCACTGAAATATATCACATCAGGAGAGAGCAGCAAAATGAAATCCAGCAGCAACTTCAAAAAAAAAAGCTCTAACTTGAACGTTTCATTGGACTATAGCTACGGCAAAAACTCGACAATGTGCAAACAAGACAGGCATATTTGGTGACGAATACTGACCAATTGAAAAAATCGGACGGATTAAGATGCTATCATGAGTTACCACTCTTTCTACTGCCTGCTTAAACTGTGGCTCCTGCCTGCTGTTTTCAGTCCGTCTACCAACTCAGTCTTTCATATTAAACAAGCAAAATGAATATAAAATGACTGCAGCATCTAATCATTTATATCTTTATTCCGTATCAACGAGCATAAGACCGATCAACCCAACCCAACATCTGATTTGGTGTTACAATATTCGCGTTAGTTACATACACTCAGGGAATTACACTTGACTTGGAATATCATCATATATAAGCAGGAAATTCAGTACAGTAACCTTTGGCAAGAGCAATAGTTGATTCATTCGTATCGACGGTATATAATATTCCTTCATAGCGTATATCCAATTTGGATATTAAACTTATTCTGCTCCCAATGTAGGGAGTTTGCTGTGCCATTATGCCACAGTTATGCAGCCAGAATGAAAAACGCAATGAATAATCCCTACCTACCCTGAAGATAATAACACGCAACCTCAAAGTAATAGCAACAACGATATATTCACGAGAGATAATCACAAATATTACGGCTGATCTTCACGCAATCTTTACGACACATCTCTGTCCTCTGTATATTATGCTGCAGGTTTCTTCCAAGAACGACCTACACTATAAACCTAAGTATATGTGTTACTTAATCATGCTAAACATGTATGCAGACCAAAGCGCAACATCCCGAATATTGCGTGAAGAACTCTTCCAATAGTGTCTTGCTTACGAAAAACCTGGGTTTTTAGGATCTGTTGGTTATCAAAATTGATTTCCGAAAGTCGATTGTAAATGGAACTTTGAATAGATGCTCTGAAACTTTGCAAATATGAGTGGAAAAGAAATGAACATGTAAAAACTTGAGAACACGTAAGATATAAAAGTATCTCCAAAGCATGTCATTTTGAAGAAAAACAACAAAACAACCTAAAAGTACACCAAATGAAGGATATATGGGAATAGATAATATCACCATCAGCAGAACCCATCAGTTGTATTGAAGTAGATCAAGTATCCATTAAAAGTGACCGAAGAGATAGCATAGGCTATAAATACTTTGTAAAGTAATCAATTACTTCTTCACTTACCTTACCCCGGTCCAACATTGCAGCCCATCTTCCCGGCATTCCAAAAACTATGTAAACATGAAGTGCACCGACAAGCATTTATAAAGGAAAAAAGACATTCGTTGATTGTGTGCGCTAGCTTCTTCACCATTTTCAGTATTTTAACACATACATAACACATATGCATACATACATACACATACACGTACACACACATACATACATACACACATACACACACACACAGTGTAGAGTATTTTAACAATGTATATTGTAAGAAAAGGACGTAGAAACGCAAAATCCATGACACTAAAACAGTATAACATGAACAGGAAGCGAATCAATATCTGGCATAATAAATGAGTGAAAGACTAGCAAGAAGGTAGATGAAGCTTAGACTTTAATAAAAAAGTGACTCTTAATAGGAAAACGAAAACATTTTGACTAAGAAAAACAATTTTCATTGAACATCTTTAAAGTAGGTGAACACATTCATTAGTTTGTTCTAGCTAGTTTTCTTTTCAAATCATCTCTTTGTTTGATTCCTATACTTCATCACTTTCCTCGCCGTATACCATTTCTACCCATTTTTCAAATTATTACTGATGAAGAAAACCGAGAACCATGTTTACCATAAACTCTTACATTTAAAACATACTTGAAGAAGCAAATCAATTATATATG